GTTATGGTGAGCCATCTACATATTTATATGTAATCTTTTGTGATGATTCACGCAAATGGCTAGTTGCCATGTAGGAAGAGGTGGAATCTCTTCATAAAAATCAAACTTGGAAATTGATCATACTGCCAAAAGACAAGATCATTAGATGCAAATGGATCTTTAAGAAGAAAGAGGGAATTCCAAGTGTTAAAGATGCTAGATACAAAGCTTGATTTGTTGCAAAAGGCTATAGTCAGTTTCGAGGAATTGATCTCAATAATATTTTCTCACCTATTGTTAAATATGGCTCTATTTGAGTCTTGCTTGCATTAGTTGCTATGTATGTGTAATAGCCTTAGCCCATCAAGATATTGTCCGCTTTGGGCCCACGAGCCTGCACGGTTTTGTTCCTGGGCCAACGAAACCACACTTGATAGCCCAAAATGCGTCTTGGCATCCTAAGGCCTGCCACCCTTTATGTACATCACTTCCACCTTGTGCTTAGCCGATGTGGGATTTGCCTAAGGTGTACACCCTTTATGTACATTCCACTTCCAAACTTGTCTGCTAGCCGATGTGGGATTTGGCCTAAGTGGTTAGTGCCCCAATCCTAAGGCCTGCCACCCTTTATGTACATCACTTCCACCTTGTGCTTAGCCGATGTGGGATTTGCCTAAGGTGTAGTGCCCCAAGCCTGGAATGTCACATACACCCCCCTTAGGGACTCAGCGTCCTCGCTGAGGTTTGCCCCACCACCGACCAAAGGGACAAGGCTTTGGTTCTGATACCAAATTGTAACAGCCTTAGCCCACCAAGATATTGTCCGCTTTGGGCCCATGAGTCCTCACGGTTTTGTTCCTAGGCCAGCGAAACCACGCCTGATAGCCCAAAACGTGTCTTGGCATCCTAAGGCCTGCCACCCTTTATGCACATCACTTCCACCTTGTGCTTAGCCGATGTGGGATTTGCCTAAGGTGTAGTGCCCCAGTCCTGGGATGTCACAGTATGTTTTAGAGTTAAAACAACTGGATGTCAAGATTGCCTTCTTGGTGGTGAACTTGAGGAGAAAATTTATATGCAACAACCTGAAGGTTTTGAAGTTGAAGGTAAGGAAGACCATGTCTGCTTATTATGGAAATCATTGTATGGTTTGAAACAATTTCCTTGACAATGGTACAAAAGGTTTCCTTTATGGTTCAACACGACTTTTCTAGAAGCAAATATGATAGTTGTGTATATTTCAAAAGCTTGATGATGATTCATTTATTTATTTATTGTTGTACATTGATGATATGCTCATTACTCCAAGAATATATCTAAGATCAGTAAGTTGAAAGAATAATTAAGCGGTGAATTTGAGATAAAGGATTTAGGAGTAACCAAGAAGATTTTGGGTATGGAGATGTAGAGGAACAGAACTACAAGTACTTTGTATCTTTCTTAAAAACTTCATCAAGAAAGTTTTGAATCGTTTTGGCATGAAAGATGCTAAATCGATAAGTATTCCACTTAGTGCCCATTTTAGACTATATGTTGGTTTATCAGTATAGTCAGAGAAAAGATAGTGAATATATTTCACATGTGCCTTACTCGAGTGCTATTGGTAGCATAATGTAGGATATGGTGTGAACTCATCTTGATATTGCATATGCAGTCAGTGTAATCAGCAAATACATGTCTAACCCTTGAAAAGAGAACTAGCAGACAATGAAAAGGATTTTGAGATATTTGCGATGCACTACAGACTATTGTTTAATATTTAGCAGAAGCAATAATAATGTGATCGGTTTTATTGATTCAGATTATGCAGGTGATCTTGATAAAAGAAGATCCATTACTAGTTATGCTTTCACACTTGGTAATACTACTATTAGATATAAAGCTACTTTACAGTTTACAATTACACTATCTACAATTGAAGTAGAGTGTATGGCAATAGCTGAGGCTATAAGAAAGCTATTTGATTAAGAGGTTTATTTGGTGAATTTTATTCAAATCAATAAGTGACATTGTCCACTGTGATAGCCAGAGTGTTATTCATTTAACAAAAGATCGAATGTTTTATGAGAGGATAAAGCACATTGATGTTAGATACCATTTTGATTGTAATATTATTTTTAAAGGTAATATTTTTAGTTAAAATAATTGGTATTGTAGAAAATCCACCTGATATGATGTCTAAATCTCTTCCAATGAACAAGTTCAAGCATATCTTACTTGGTTGCTAATTCTCAAAATTCAATTTCGCCCTTCAAAGGATCAATGGAGAAGGTGAAGAAATTCTACTAATTTTTTAATCTAGAAAATTCAAGTCAATGTGGAGATTTATTGATTATGTCTTGATTTTCTTTGTCTTCAAGCTAAAGTCTTTGTATTGCTTTGCTTGGGCACAAAGCACGAAGTTAACTTACCTTGGGTGCAAAGCATTATAGAGTCAACAAAGTTATATGTAAAGATCAATGACCATTTGGCCTTTTTTTCGTTGGACGAGATATATAATTAGTAGAGTGTGCAGATAGTCCATTTTGAAAGTGTTTTCTCTTGGCCATGTTTCTGCTCTTAATCTAAGTACAGTAATTTTGTCAATAATTAATAACTGTTATAATTTTAAGAGAGAAAAATATACCTTGGGTACAAAGCACAAAGTTAACTTACTTTGGGTGCAAAACATTATGGAGTCAGCAAAGTTATAAATAGAAATCATGGTCATTTGGTCATTACACAGAAAGATATAAGTGGAATGTGTGAGAGTCCATTTTGAGAGTGTTTTCTCTTACCCATTTTTTTGCTCTTAGTTTAGGTAAGATAATTTTTTCAATAATTAATTATCGTTACAATATTAAGAGAGAAAAAAATATAGGTGAGAATCGGGTATTTTTGGGTTCAAAATTTTGAGTGTTATCTCTCACTTTGTACTTCGTATTTTCACTATTAATTAGTAGATTTTTTTCTTCTTCGCCTGGGGATGTAGAATTACGCTAAACCACATAAATCCTTTGTTTCCCTCTCATTATTTTGCTATCGCATTATTAATTTTTCTATTTACCACAAATAGATAACCACTTTTAAACTTTATGCAAAATAAGTATTTAATTGAAATATTCAACAAATCAAATAAAATATTTTATAGATACAATTTCATAAGATAAAGTACTCAACGGGTCAAAGTAAAAGATAAAGATTCCACAAGATTTTTTTTTATGAAAAATATATGGGTGAATTTATGTAGCCAATGAGCAAATTATATATTGATATTGTTGTAACAAGAAATAAGTTGTTATGAGTTCTTTGCATGTGTAATTTTTATTCAGCATCTTTGTGTTCTCAATCTTCTAGAATTTCAGTTTTGCAGGAAATCTTTCAAAATATTCAGGTGAGGTTTCTCTTATTTTCCTAAACGAAATGAATTAAAAAAAAAATTCATATTTGATTTCCAATCGTAGGGTTAAGCTCTGGCTTCAACCTATGGATTGGATTAAACTTTACAACCGTATATTGTATAATGTAGTTTATGAGAAAGGAATTTTCAAGTTGGTTTTTTTATGTATGGTTATCCTTAAGAAGAGTTTTATGATCATATGAGGCTAAAGTGGCTGAGCCTCAACCCAGCTACACACCGATCTAGACCCCAAATTTATATCGTAACATCAGTGGTAGGTAAGCATCTCTTAGTAGGAGTTAGCAAACGGTTCAAACCGAGATAAAAAAATATAAACCAAAGTTTTTTTGTCAACAGATCAAACCGAACCGAAATTATCTTTTGAACCAAACTGAATCAGTCAGTTCAGTTAAGTTAATCAATTTTGCTATTTCAGTTTAGTTTTAAATCCAACCTGACATATTTCTATAAAACCGACTCAAATCTAAATATAAATTCAGTTCAAATCAAAAAAATCAACAACTAAACCTCTTTTTATTTAGCTGATCGAACCAAAATGAGTTGGTTCAACCTCTTTTTATTTAGCTGATCGAACCAAAATAAGTTGGTTCAGTTTTCAGCTCGGTCCGTCAGTTTGCACACCCCTATCTTAGAGAACGAGTTTGATCCCCCATAGGTCTTTCGGGGGAGGGGGCAAAGTGAGACGGAATGCGAAAAATCAAGACTATTTTACTTGTTTTTCTTTTATAATCCACCTTCCTATTAATTATAATTAAAAAATCATTCTTTGTGAAGATCATAAAATATATTTAAGAATTTTACAAAATTTGAGTATTGCTGATTTCGATCTTGGTTTTGCAAGCTATTATTCTTTTTGCTTCAGAAGAAATGCTAATCATATGCGAGTAATTTTTTGAATCCTAATATTAGCAGAAAAATTATGCTCACAAAGGAAATCTATTAGATGTTTATTTGGTGATTAGCTTCAGCTCACAATTGCTTGCTAGCTAGCTACTTAGTCTGGGAGTAAAGATGGCAGTTAGAGCTGCAAAAACTAAATCATTGCAACTCAAGAATCAAGCAATTTAATCACTTCCTTCTCCAAACTTTCTTGTTTACTTCCTTTTCTTCTTTCACTTGAAAAGTACAATATACTTTCCTATTTTTGAAAGTTGAACAAATATGCAGTTGAGCTTCTCTTTTTATATTTTTCTCAATTGGGTATGAACCTTGGATTTTTTTTGGTAAGTAATCTGTCTACTCTCTCTCTCTCTCGTCCTCCTCTTTTTTTTTTTTTTTTTTTTTTTTTTTAATCTGTCTTACTCTCTCTCTCTTCTCGTCCTCCTCCTTTTTTTTTTTTTTTTTATTTTTTTTTTAATTTAACTTAGTTTTTTTTTTTTTTTTTTTTTTTTTAATTTAACTTAGAAGCATTAGCTATTTATGACAAATTTTGTTAATATAATAATCGTCACTAACTATTAAGATATATATCATAGGCTCAACCAAGGAATCCAAGATTCAAAGTCTAATTGTATGAGAAGAGAGGCGTGGAAGAATTTTTAGGAAGCTAGACAAGCAAAATATTAACTAAGATAATAAAGTTGTTAAAAAAAAAAAAAGAAAAACAGTAATGCAAAGCTAATTACAGCAAAGTGGCCTCTATTTAACTTAAATTTGATCTAGACATAAAGGAAAGAAACCTGAGGTATGCCAACAAATGTCCACATCCTGGAAAGTGAAGGAAGGAGAGGATGCTACTGTTATCAACAATGAAAACGAAAGTTTGTTCATTCTAAATCATCAATTTAAGCATTCAGTCAACCCCCCTCAACTGTACATTCGTGCTTCTCAATGAAGCAACTCTACCCAATTAGCAAACCAGTAAAACTCAAATATGGACATAAAGAAGGAATTTAACTACACTTCACCAATCAGAGGGATGATGCCCACGAGTTGGAAATACTGACACCGTCAACCTTGCATGACATGACCATCAAATCAGAACATAAGAAGATATATACATATGTAGCAAGGAAAAAGATTCCAAAGAAAACATACCATGAACAAGTTAGTTTGCTTCGACGTAAAGGGCTAGTGCAGAAGACGGGTTGTGCTCTGATTCAATTAAAAAAAAAAAAACAAAATTTTAGTTAAAGATGATTCAAGATTAACATGATATCAATTTTCAAAGATTAGAGAAGGTGAAAGTACCTTCTGGTTCCCCTCTTAACCAATCTCGCGCACATATCAGAGCCTGTCGAGTGTCTGGATTAAGTGAACTTCGATGACTATCAAGCACCCTACCTCCAGTACTGAATGCGGACTCTGGGGAAATAGTTGACATGGGAGTTCCCAAAACATCACGTGCCATCATTGACAAGATAGGGTACCTTGGCGTGTGGACCTTCCACCAGTTTAGTATATTAAAATCACAATTCCGAGGGAAGACTGGTTCCTCTAAATATTTGTCCAAATCAGACGCTACACTCTGACTTTGAGAATTCTCATGCAGAAACTTGTCGAAGCCCTTTAATCTATCCCTACTATCAGAACTGGTACTAGGTAAACTGTTGCCAGGCAGAGCTGAACCTTGATCAACCAATGTTGAACAGATAGAGTATGCATTAAAAAGTTCTTTAATGCCATCAGAAACTTCTTTGATCCGATCCAGGGCAGTACTGCCATATATCTGAGAATAGTAGTATTCCACCAACTTCATCTTGAATCGTGGATCTAAGATGGCTGCTACTGCCAAAGCCAAACTACACTTGTTCCAATACTTATCAAACTTAGCTTTCATCTTTGATGCAATGGAGCTAAGGAAATTATCTGGGCTTTTGCACCATTCAATTAGTTGGATGTGAACATCACAAATCTCAGGGAAATATATATTTGCTGTAGGACATTTATTTCCAGAAAGGACACAGGTGATTTCAACAAACAGCTTCAAATAACTAGTGACAGAACTTGTCCATTCCCACTCAGTATCAGTTAAAGCTGATGCATAGGCTGGGTCATGCTCTTGCAACAGAGAAAATGCATTCTTGTATTCTAAGGCTGTTTCAAGCATTAGATATGTTGAGTTCCACCGGATTGGAGAATCAAGAACTAGATTCTTCTGACTGCTGATTCCAACTTGCTGGGATATCTCATTGAACTTCCCTTGTGTTACCTGCGAACTTTTAACATATCTAACACTTCCTCGAATCTTTTGGGTCAATTCTTGGAGTGCTTCCATGACATCTTGAACAATGAGATTCAGAACATGTGCAGAAGAGCGTACATCAAATAACTGACCATTACTCAAAAGGGGCCTATTCTGAGAGATTCGGTCCTTAATTCTAAGGACAATATCATCATCAGTGGAACAATCATCAAATGTCATGGCGAACAACTTGCATTCAATGTCCCACTCCATGAGACACTTAATAATAACTTCTGAAAGCATATCTTCGGTATGAGACGAATCCAATGTCACAAAATTTAGAATCTTCTTCTGTAATTTCCAATCCTCATCAATATAATGGGCAGCTAAACACAGGTACTCAATGTTTTCAGCAGAAGACCACATTTCAATGGAAAGATTAATTCTGCCCTGCAATCTATTTATCATCTCATACACTCTCTGTTTCTCTCTCCCATAAATTTCCACGCAAGAGAGCTCAATAGAACCATTTGGCACAACCTCAAACAAAGGTTGGAGATTTTTGACAAATATTTTGAATCCAACATGGTCAACCATAGCCAAAGGATAACCATGTAATATAATCATGCGGGCAAGATCAAGCTGACTCCGCTCTTGATCAAACCTACTACTTCCAAGGCTAATAACTTCATCTTTTCTCTGCTCCTGATCATACTTTATAATTGCTGTGGGCTTAATATATTCATCTTTTCTTTGACCTTCATCATAACTGATACTAGGAAGGCTAAGAGAAGTTTCTTTTTTCCTTCTCTTTGCTGCAAGTAGTTGTGACACATCGAAATTAGATCTTTTCAAACATCGCATTAAGTGATTTCTCAGATGTGTGGTTCCACTATTACTTGATCCACTGAGTTTCTTGTTACAGTGTACACAAACAGCATAGCATATGTCAGCCTTCCTAATCCTCTCAAAGTGATTCCACACAACAGAAGTTAATCTCTTCGGTTTCTTAATTGCTGATTCATTTGAGACTTCCATTGCATAGGGTTCAATGAGGCAGTCTGCATATCATATGAACAAATGAAAACATGATTGATGTTACCATAACCATCTAGGGCACAACAGAAACCAGAAAAGAAATCATGATCTATAGTCCATATCATATAGAAATTACATTACAGCAACAAATCATCATTTGAAGAGGCCAGATTATTCAAAGAAAAAAAAAATTAGTAGGAGTGTGATCATAGAAAGTTGGTGAAAGCCAATAAGTGAAGGCTCTCAGCTATATAATGCAGTAATATATCCTAATATGCATTAGAAGAAATTCACCAAAACTCAAAAGTTGAGCCACACAAAATCAGAATAAAAAGGATAAAAGTTTAATTGATAGTTAAATAATTATAAAGGCTTAAAGAAGGACAAGTTAATTGTCAAGTTGAAAAAATCGACTATATTTTCTAGCACAAGCATGACATTTGCTATACAAGTCATAAGAAAATCATAATTCAAATGCCAGTAAGGAATTGAGATGCGTAGAATGAGTTTAGATATGCTTAATCCAGAAAATATGCATCAGAGAAACCATCGAAAGATTGTGTGGCTAAAACAAACCACCAAAGTTTAATTCTGTTCAGACAAAGTTTATGGAGAAACGAATACACCAATAAGCCCACAATTCAAGTTTATTTTGAAGAAGGGCATAAAAAGATTTCTCAGTCAAAAACCATTGATTAAAGAGTCAAAAGGAAAATTTTCCAGTGTGCATGTTTATATACACAAACCAAGAAAGATTAAAAATAAAAAAAATAAAAAAAAAAAACAAAAAAAAACAAACAAACAACGAAACAGATTCACTAAAAGTATAGAATCAAATGAATGAATAATCTCAAAATCCAAACTTCTCCAATAACCCAATTGAAGACATACACTAAAATTGAACAGATAAGTCATCTCCAAACCTAAATTCCAATCCTAGAAATTTAAAGATCCATATTTAAGCTTTAAAAATAAAACAATAAACAAGTAAACAAAAGCACATACACAAAAACGTATCATCTCAAAATACAGGCCGTAAATACACGCAATCGCAGGAAAAGAAATCAAATTGAAGATTTACTATAAACCCAACAAGAAAATTGCATTTGAAAAACTGAATTAAAAAAAAATAAAAAGATCTGATAGAACTGGGTCTTACGTGAATTAAAGCTGAAGCTTCCTAATTTGGCTTGTTGGAACTCCACGGAGTCCGATCAGAAGATCCGGTAAGGTCACAGTTCGATTGGAAAGAAATGGGGAAAAGATAGGATCCGGTGTGGGTTTGTTAGAGATAAATGGGCAAGATCCGATAAGATAAGATCCAGTTGGGTGTGGGTCAACGCCAAGTTTGGATATTTCCTTTATTTTTCCAAGCACAATGAGATGGACGGTTGGACCCTATTCAAGGTTTGGGTCCGTTTTGGGAACGTTAGGTTTTTGGATTTTGGTTTGATTTATCGGTTGCTTTAAATCCGTGCCTGTGTATAATGCTATTCAACAACTCATTCATAAGTCATAACCACAACATAGGTATGATTACGTCGGTCGGAGTCGGATTAGGCGGATTGAAGTTTTATGGTCTAATCTAACAAAACAAATATTTGTGATTTTCAAAAAGAAAAATGCAAATATTTATGAGTTTAAAAATTTTAAGATCAACACCAATCCAATCTAATTAAAATTAAAACAATCAGCTTTTAGGTTAATCCGTTGAAATTGATTTTTTTTTTTTTAAATGATCCGTTGAAGACCTTGAAGATTTTTATTTGAAGACCTTAAAGATTAATGAAGATATTTTTGTTTTGATTTGTATTGTATTAAGTCTTAGAAAATTATTATAGGATAGAGTATAAATAATATTATAAACACAAATCTATTTTATTTCTTTCAAAAATTATTTTTAAAATATTTTTGAATAAATTTATTAAGAGGAGATAGCCAAAATCTTTGCTTTTTACGTTTTTCCATTTAAAAGATTTTTAGAGTAAATCTTATTGGATCTATTAAATGAAATTCTGCAAAAAGCAATTTCTGATTTGACACAGTTGACAGTTTCTAAACATAACTAACATTTTTTGTTTGAAAAGTTAAATAGACTTTTGAAGTTAACTCCTTCAACTCTATGCCTTGCGTGAAGAGCCTCAATAGCTTATTAATGCAACCCATGCTGAGTTAATTTTTGAATTTAAATGTTAGAATCAATCATCATAATTTAAAGCAAAACTCTAAGTCATCTATAACGGTACATTTCTCTCTTTCTTATAAAAACTCTCACCTCTCTCTAAAGCAAGTGTTGGCAACAGTAAGAGACCATTGTTCAAAATTCAAAATCTTTCAAAGCTTTCTCTCTTCAACTCCCTTCATTTCTTTTCATCTATATTCTTCAAAAGATATTTCTTTTTCAAGAGAAAAGAAATCTGGTAACAACTCTTTTTGAATAACAGTTCTGCACTTATTTTCTATTTTCAAAACCTATTTTTGGTTCTTCCTGTGCTTATAGTTGCATTTCTCTTTGTCTATATAGATTGTTGTAATATATTTTCATTTCTTTTCATCTATATTCTTCAAAAGATATTTTTTTTCAAGAGAAAAGAAATCTGGTAACAACTCTTCTTGAAGAACGGTTTTGCACCTATTTTCTATTTTCAAAACATGTTTTCTATTCTTCCTACGCTTATAGTTGCATTTCTCTCTGTTTATATAGATTGTTGTAATCTATTGTAGATTAGAGGTTTTTAAATGAAAAATATTTATGTAACAGCTTAAGTGAGAAGCTGTGTTGAAAAAAGTTATCAAGCGACATTCTCCTTGTAAGCGATTTTAATGTCTTGATATGAGTTTTCTAATCTCTACAAAACAGAAGGGTAGAGGTTGACTAGGACCTTTGAAATCTAGTATTTTTAAGGTTAGATTTAGGTATTAAATTATTTCTTTATAACTGTTGATTTGTCTCCTACCCTTTAAAAGAGATAACATAGTGGAGGATCTCAAGATGAGTCTTGGGGACTGGATGTAGACAAGTTAATGTCGAACCACTATAAATCTCTATGTTATTTTCTTTTATTTTCTGCAATGTTGCTTGATTACACTCTTTTTTACACATTTGTGAATATTTTCAGAAATGCACAGTTGTTAATGATTTTCTGTTTCTAAACGTGAATAAGTTTTATCTTTGTGGATCATTAGAACTCTGAATTTCTGTACTATGATTTTTATAAAGTTCTAATATGTCTTTTTATATTTAATAGAAACCAGAATCTGAGTTATAATCGGTTGTCTAACCTTTCATAAGCTTTGTGAGGAAGTTCTAAACATGATAATTATCTCTCACAAACGCTTTCTAATTTCGCTGCTATAGAATTCTAATCTTGTGTTCTAAAAGCTAAATTTTTAAAAAATCCAATTCACCCCCTCTTGGATTGTGCCATATATAACGAGACCCACAATCTGGTATCAGAGCTCATCTCTTGACTTATCAAAGCTTAACAGCATAAGAGAAAAGATCACATGGCGGCCCCACTTCCTGTTACATCTTTAGAAGGTTAATCCATTTCTAGACCACCTCTGTTCAATGGTTCTAACTACTCTTACTAGAAAACCAGTATGGAAAACTTTATCAAATCAGTTAACATAAGTTGCTGGTGGAACATTATTGCTGGTCCTCGCATTCCTATGAAGACTGTTGAAAACGTAAGAGTTCGAAAGATTGAAGGAGAATATACCGATGCTGATTGGAACGATATCTCTATAAATGCAAAAACCATCAGTATTCTTCACTGCGCATTAGATCTAGCAGAGTACAATAAGGTTTCTGGATGTAAGTCAGCAACAAAAGTATGGGAAAAACTCAAAGTTACTTATGAGGGAATAGATCGAGTTAAAGAATCCAGAATCAACATCTTTTGAAGAGAATACAAAATATTTAGCATGAAAGGAGAGACTATACCTGAACTAAATTTCAAATTCACAAATATAGTCAACCCTTTGAGAACTCTCAGAAAGAAAATCTCAGAAGATGAGCTTGTTAAGAAAATCCTTAGAATTCTACACAAAAGTGGGATTCTACAAGAACTGTGATGAACTACAAAGAGACTCCAGTAACCTATGATTATTTGATGGGAGCTCTTGCTTTAGAAGAGATGAAGTCCTCTTTAACTGTAAAAGATAAGAAGAAGAAAAGGCTGGCCTTGAAAGTTGTTTCTAGTGAGAAAAGTTTTTCCGATCTTGATAGTGATGATCTAGCTCTTGTGGCTAGAAAATTTAAAAAGTTCTATGAGAAAGGTGGAAAGCCACAGAAAAAGTTAACCAAAACAGAACGTTTCACCTAAAAATAGTAACTTGCCTAAGAAAGAACCTTCTGAAGTGGTTTGTTATGAGTGCAACAAACTTGGTCACATCAAGACAAATTGCCCTAAGTTGAAAAGGAAGTCAAAGAAAGATAAATTGGAGCAAGCATTTGTTGCTGCCTGAAGTGATTCAGACAATTCTAATTTTGAAAATCAAAGTGGCCAGGAGGAAGTTGCAAATATATGTCTGATGGCCATTACCAATTCTGACTCTAAGGAAATCAGCACTCTGACTTCATCACACAAGCCTGAAAGTAGCAAAGCAAACGCAACATGCCAAAAGCATGATGAAAGCGATGTAAGTATCTTTGAACTCAAATCTGAAAGTGATCTTCTAGATACTTATAATAACATTTGCACTAAATTTGCAAAACTTGCTAAAAAGCATAAAGTTCTAAAGAAAGATTACAAAAAGTTGAAAACTGAATGTAATCATTTTTTATCAAGAAGTTACATGCAAAGATCTTATTATAGAGATCAAAGATCTGAAAGAATGTAATGAGAAATTTTCTAAAAATTTGAAACACTTTGAAGAAAAATGTAAAAGTCTAAATTCTGAAAATGAATCTTTAAAGGCTAAGATTAGAATTATAAAGTCAATTTCAGAATCATTTTCTAAAGTAAAGACAAGTTCTAGCTATGTTGGTACTTCAAGTCAGAATCATATTTTTATTAAAAAAATGTCATTTCTAATGTTGTAACATTAGAACATAAGAAACACTTTGAAAAATCTAGTAGTATTAACAAAAAGAAAAATCATAGCAAAAAGAATGAGAAAGGATCTGCACCTATTACCACTAACCCTCCAGGACCCAATACATGTTGGGTACCTAAATCTGGGTGATTATTTCAGGTGTGCCTAAGGAGTGACTTGAGAATAGAAATGTGGTATATGGACAGCGCTTGCTCTAGGAATATGACTGGTGATAGAAAGAAATTCACCAAATTAGAAAAGAAGAAAGGAGGTACAGTGAGCTTTGAAAATGAAGCTAAAGGTAAAATTGTTGGTATTGGTGTTGTAGGTTCTAATCCTTCAATAGAAGATGTGGTATATGGACCAGCGCCTTGCTCTAGGAATATGACTGGTGATAGAAAAGAAATTCAACCAATTAGATTAGAAAAGAAGAAAGGAGGTACAGTGAGCTTTGAAAATGAAGCTAAAGGTAAAATTGTTGGTATTGGTGTTGTAGGTTCTAATCCTTCAATAGAAGATGTATGCTTAATAGAAGGATTACATTATATCTTGTTAAGTGTAAGTCAGATTTGTGATAAAAACAGAAGAGTGATCTTTGAACCCTCTCATTGTAAAGTTTAGAACATACATGATAACAAAACTTTATTTGTGGGAAAAAGGTTTGGAAACATATACTTAGTATACCTTTTTGAGATGCATAACCTAGACATATGCTTATTTTCTGTTAACAATTCTAGTTGGTTATGCAATAGGAGACTTAGACATGCAAACATGCACCTTATTTCTAAACTGTCTAAGAAAAATTTAGTTTGTCATTTGCCAAAGTTAAAGTTTGAAAAATATCACATATGTTATGCTTGTCAAATGCTTGTCAATTGGGCAAACAAACTAGAACATCTTTCAAATCTAAGGGCATGGTTTCTACTTCTAGACCTTTAGAATTGCTACACCTTGATTTGTTTAGAACTGCCACTCCTTCTAGTCTTGGAGGTAAATTGTATGCTTTTGTCATTGTACATGATTACTCTAGATTTACCTGGACGCTCTTTCTTAGAAATAAGGATGAGTCATTTGATTTGTTTGTTCATCTTTGCAAAAGAATATAGAATGAGAAAGGATACAACATCACTGCGATTAGAAGTGACAATGGAAGAGAATTTGAAAATTAGAAATTCGATGCTTTTTGCAACGAATCAGGAATCTTTCATAACTTCCTTTCATAACTTCTCAGCACCTAGAACACCACAGCAAAATGGAGTAGTGGAGCGGAAGAATAAAACACTTCAAGAAATGCCAAAACCATGTTGAGTGATTATGAGTTACCAAAGTAATTATGGACAGAAGCTGTAAATACTACATGTTATGTTCTAAACAAGGCTTTGGTAAGATTTAAACTAAAAGACTCCATATGCGCTATACAAAGGTAGAAAGCCAAGCATTGGCTACTTTCATATTTTTG